AAATTTAGTTCTAGTTTTAAGTGTATTATAAGATAGATTTAAGATTTACTATTAAGATGTAGTTTAAGTTTANGAGATTAAGTTAGATATAAGTTATGATTGTGAAGTAAATTGCGATGATTGTAAAAAATTATTATAAAGATTATTGTAAATATATAAAATAAACTCTGTAAAATAATATTGTGAAATAAATAATTATTTTATTTGAAAACTTTTTTAATTATCATTTCCTTTCCAATTTTCAGGTTTATTTAATTTTCATATGATATTTCTTTTTTATGTGTTTTATATTATATTAATTTATGCATTATTTGTGTTATTTATGCATTATTAAATCTTACAAATATTTCATTAGAAAATTTTCGGAATATTTTAAATTTAAAAATATAAGATAATTTTTTGCGATAATAATTTTTAAGTGAAAAGCGATGGGAAGTCAAGAACTACCCACATTTGCAATCTAATCTAAAATATAATTCTTTTTAATTATTAAAAAATATAACTATTAAATCTTAATTTATAAAATCTAATGTAAGAAGCTGTAGCGGAAGAGGAATGGAAATATATCGAAGAATTAGTACATGTCGCGCCATCTCTGGAGGAACCTAGAAATGTAATCTATGTAAACAAAGAACAAAATAAGAGAAGGATAGGGAAATAATAATATGAATCGGTGTAAGTGGCGTCATCTTTGACATGCCGTAGAAATTATATAAACAAGGAAAAATAAGTGCGAGAAAAGAATAGTAATATATCGAAATATATCGAAATATTGTACAAGTGGCGTCATCTCTGTTTTATCGCAGAAACTATGGAGACAAGGAGAGATGATAACGGAAGAAGGACAGAGTTATAATAAAAATTAGTACAAGTTGCGCCATCTGTTGGTTATTAAAGAAGTATATTTAAAAATAACATATGAATAAGAATTTGATATTGTCGTCATCTTTCAGGTATTTGTAAAGATATATTTTCAATTTTCATGAGTTTCATTTATAGTGTAACATAGAGATGGTACTAGTTGTACAATTTTTAACTTATTTCCATTGTTTTGCCATTATTTTTTTCTTGTTTGCATTTATTTTCACAAATTCATATATTTAAAAGATTAGCAGATTGCATTTTTGTTGATGTTATTGATACAGAATAATAATATAATTTATTTTATTCAATTTTTAAAGTTCTAAATGTAATTTCAATAATATCTTCTTATTTTTTATAGACAGGTTTTTAATGCATAGTTACCTCCTTGTTGAAATCTGGTAATTAACATTTTCTCTTTGGAAATCTGTTTTCTATCTATAAAAAAATTTAATAACTTTTACATGATTTCATTAATAATTTTTTTTTTTTTTTTTTTTTTTTTTTAAA